CAGGGGGCGCCCCACGCATTGCGCCTGCGCGCATGGCTTCCGGCCAGGCACCCGCGCGCGAACCCTCTAGTTCCGACCAGTGTACCTGACCCGGGCTTGGCCTCTGGCGCTCAGAGACACTGCAGTTCAGCGGTTCCCAAGCCGAGCTGCTGCTTCAGCCTCCTAAGCATCTGGTGTGTCCCACCTCACTGAACTCCTTTCTGCATCCATTAAATTGCCCTAGTCAGAAACCTGGAAACCAACCTCACTCTCCACCCGCTTTGAGATCCCATGCAAAACCGAGTCCTTAGGGCTGCACTCAGGAAAACATCGCAATCCATTTGCTTTTGTTTGCCTTCTGCCATCAACTTGGCTCATTCAAGGCCTCTCCATTTTGGGCCACTTTATTCCAACAGTCTCATCTCCATCCTTGGCCCCATTTAGCCTGTTTTCCACAGTGGTGCCAGAATGATCTTCCCAAAGCAGTGTGACTAGTCTCCCTCGATTTTTAAAGCCTCAGTGGCTTCCCCTCGCCCTTTAGAGAGAGAGTGTGAACTGGTTAAGGGTACAATTTGGAGCCAGAACAATCGTTTGAAATCCTTCCTCTGCATTTGTAAACTGTCACTCTGGGCAAGAAACCATTTCATTTGCTCAATTCCTTCATCATAATACGTAGAATCTACATTATATAATTGCTGTAGGGTGCAATCATGTCTGGATGATTATGTCTGGGTCATAGCAGCTGATAAGGATTATCTTTTGCTTTTTTTCTCCACCTGGGATGGAACTTGGGACCTTGCACTTACAAGGCAGGCATTGTGCCACTGAGCTAAATCCCTGACCCAGGGTTATGTGTTAGCTTTTGTCTTTAGTTCTATTATCCTTAATGCTTTCACTCTGCCCCGACTTACCTCTCTTTTTCATTATTCTGCAATTTCACTATGAATCTAGGTGGGATTTTTTTTTTTTCATTTTGGCATCTTCCATCTTCTGGAAATTTCTTGGTCATCTTTCTTCAAATATGCCACTTTTTCATTTTCTCCCTCCTAAAACGCAAACATAAGATTGTTGTTTGGGGGGGGTTGGTTGTTTTGGGGTTTTTTTGTCCCTCCACCTCAAAAGCGTGAGTTCTAGAAGCCCAGGGTGGTGGTGCTCGCCTGTAATCCCAGCACTCGGGAGGCTGAGGCACGAGGATCACTGAGTTTGAGACCAACCTGGGCTACAGTGAGTTCCAGTTCTGTCTCAACTACGTAGTGAGACCCTGTCTCAAAAAAAAAAAAAAAACAAAAAAAGGGAGTTCTGAGATCACAAACGTGTGCAACCACGTGCAGCTTCTCCTACTTTTGTTTTGCTTTTTCTATGTTCAGTACTGAGAATCAAACCCAGGGCCTTACACGGGCTGGGCAATTGCTGTACCACTGAGCCACATACCTAGGCCCCATTCTGGATAATATATTTTGTAATCTGAAATCTTGTTGAGTTCCCTTATTAATTTTGGAAAGTTTTTCATATATTCCTTGGGATTTTTTTAATGTAGACAGTCACTTCATCTGCAAATAGGAAGTTATTTTGTGTTTGTCTTTTTTGTTTCCTTTCCAGTATGAATGCGTATTTTCTTTTCTGTCTTACTGTGCTGATGAGGGAGTGATGGAAGTGGACATCCTTGGCATGTTCCCTTTCTTGGGGTTAAAGTGTTCAGTCTTTCAGTGTAAAGTATTATTTATGTTAGTTGTGGAGGTTTCATAGATCCTCTTTGTCAAGGTGGGAAAGTTCCTCTGCCGAGTTTTTATTATGAATGGGCATTAAATTTTGTCAGTATTTTTCTGCATCAATTGATATGACTGATAAAAGGGGGAATAGATGTAACTCCCAAACCTGCTAGGTATCCAAAATGCAAGTTCATGTTCTCTAATTGAAGAATGAATTCTAGGAACAATAAGAGGCTGAGTAGGAAAAACAAAACGGACAAAAACAAATAAGGAAAATGTATTGAGAGAAAGCAAGCTTCTGTCTAAGAGAGACAGAAAGGGGACCAGAAAGGGGACCAGAAAGTGGGTTACTCGCTCACCCTGCTTCTCAAAGCTGTTTATGGGACAAAGCCATGAGGTGAGGTGGTTCAAGTTAGGACAAAACTATAGTCAACTAGTAAGATTACAAGTAGAATCGTTTAGGTAATACGGATCCAATGAGAAATCACAAGGTGGACAAATCTATGAATAACCAGTAAGATTATGACAAGTATTGTCTCTTAGGTAATAATGATTAAATGGGGATCCAATGGGGATAAAAACACATCAGGTAGCTGGGCGTGGTGGTGCATGCCTGTAATCCCAGCACTAGGGAGGCTGAGTCAGGAGGATCACTGGGAGTTCAAGACCAGCCTGGGCTATATAGTGAGTTCCAGGTCAGTCTCAACGACATAGTGAGATCCTGTCTCAAAAAGCAAAACAAAACAAAACAAAAACACATCATGTAGCATGCATACAAGCAATGAGCAAGGATTTTCAGTGGTGGGAATAGGTTAGGGCCAGGGATTTAGCTCAGTGCCACCGCACTTGCCTCATAAGCCCAAGGTCCTGAGTTTGAGCCCTGGTACCAAAAAAAAAAAAAAAGAAAGGAGTAGGTCAGGGAACTTTCTAGGACGATCTCCCAAGGGATTGATACCTGTTTAGAATATCAATCACTATTATTCATGCCGAGTGGGTGTAATAGTTTTCTTTTACAATGCTGGCTTTCTGTGAATATGTCTTGATTGTCCTCCACGTTGGCTCAGTTGTCTTCCTTACTGGCTTTTCACACACTGGCCCTGTCTAACTGCCTACAAGATATGTAATTAAGTTACCTAGCTACAATATGATCACATGATTCTCTCCATTATATGTAGCTTTTGGGGGTTTTGTTTTTGTCTCATTCAATCTAACGTCTGATTTGCTGGAAAAAAATACGGTTTGCCATTCCAGGCATACAGGCACACACCTGTGATCCCACTTACTCAGGAGGATTGGATGTTCAAGGCCAGCATGGGTTAGTTGAGACCCTGTATCAAAAATAAAGAAAAAGAAGATATATCTCAGCACTCTTTGGATTAAACTCCCAGGACAAAAGAAAATGAAGACATAACTATGGTTTATTTTAGATCAAATGTGGTTAGGTAACAAGGCTGAAGTGTAGTTCAGTGGTAGAGTCCTTGCCTAGCAATGGCCAGCCACTGGGTTTGATTGTCCAGCACCCTGAAAAAAATAAAGAGGTTCCCAGGCATGTATACTCCATTATATTCTTGATTCGTATTTATTATCACTTTGATAACATTGTATTAATTTTTCAGTTCTTAGATGCTTTCAGAAATCTTGCAGGAGGCCTTGGATTCAGCCCCCAGCACCAAAAAGAAAAAAGTTTACCTTTCATCTTGAAATTTTAAAGCTGGGCATGGTGGCGCATTTCTGTAATCCTAACACTCAGGAGGCCAAGGCAGGAGGATTGCTATGGGCTCAAGGCCAGACTGGGCTACATATTGAGTTCAAGGCCAGCCTGAAATAATACATAGTGAGTAGTGAGACCTTCTCTCAAAAAAAAAAGGGGGGGGGCGGGAACTTGGTTCGGTGGTTCCACTGAGTGATGCGTAAGTACATGGGTCCAAGTTTGAGCCACAGTACCAAAAAAAAAAAAAGGAATCCACCACCACCTGCCTTGCAAGCGTAAGGATATTTCTGTCTCCCATTTCTTGGCCTCTTTTGGCAATCTACTTATTCTTTGCTGCACAGGCTTTCTTAAACTCTGTTTCTAAGTCAGGTGTGGTGTCTTGTAATCCCAGCACTCAGAGGCTGAGGCAGGAAGATTGCTCCAAGTTCAAAGCCAGCATGCATTACACAGAGTTTAAGGTCAGCCTGAACTACACTGTGAGATGCTGTCTCAACCACCCCCTCAACCCCCCCCCGCAAAAAAAACCGTTTCTCTGGATTTCCACAATCCCCGGTGCTTCTCCCATTTAACACTGTCTGTGGGTGCTAATGTTATTGTTCTGCTGGGGCCAGCTCTTGTACCTCTCCAGACTAAAAGGCAGTATATCACATTGCAGATGTGGCATCTGGTCATCTAGCTGCTCAGGAGGCAGAGGGGAAAGTATCATTTGAACCCAGGAGTTGGAAACCATCTCAGGCTGATATAAGGGGAATAGATGTAACTCCCAAGCCTACTAGATATCTGAAATGTGAGTTCCTGTTCTCTAGAATTGAAGAGTGAATTCTAGGAACAACAGAGATTAAGAGCAGGAAAAATTTATTGAAAGAAAGCTTCTAAGTGTGACAGAAAGGGGACTGGAAAGTGGGTTGCCCCCTCACCCTCCTTCTCAAAGGTCTTTTGTGGGACAAAGCCACAAGTTGAAGTGGGTTCATGGTGGAACAAAACTATGGTCAACTAGTAAGATTACAAGTACAGTTATTCAGGTAATAGGACCCAAGGAGAAATCACAAGGTGGCCAAAACTATGAACAACCAGTAAGATTAAGACAAGTATTGTCACTCAGGTAATACTGGTTAATGGGGATCCAATGGGAAAGCAAATTGAGTAGCAAGTCTACAAAGATTTTTAGTAAGGGTGGGTCACGGATCCTTCCTGGAAAGGGTGGGTTAAAAACAAACAAAAAACAGCAACAACAACAACAAAAACCCCTTGGCCTCCACCCACGTGATTCCTATTTAGAAAATCAATCACCACTATTCATCCTTAGAAGCACACAGGTGTGGTAGTTTCTCTTCTCTTACAATGCTGGCCTTCAGTGAATGTGTCTTGATTGTCCTCCACGTTGGCTCCCAGAGGATAAGATCCTCCTGTCTAACTGCCTTTAAGGTATCTAATTATCTTACCTGTCTATAATACTATCTCAAAACATAAAAAAAAGGGCTGGCAAAGTAGTTCAGTGTAAAGGCCCTGGGTTCAATCCGCAGTACCACCCCTCCAAACAAATTCTTAAACAGCATGTCTTACACAAGGTGCATCCCACATTCCAATAATTGCTCAGTGTTTAACTCACATCTATAAACCAACTGCTGGTCTAGCAATCATAGGCAACTGATTTGATTCCTTAAGAGTGAGAACTGAATGGGAGTTTCACCATTCAGATTTAGCAGCTTTTTGTTTCCCATTGATAAATACACTGCACTGTTGGGGACTAGGCTACACAACTCAGATCTGGGAAGTCCTGAGGTGGGGGTTATCATGCCTGGGAACAGGAAAGTACTGGAAGACTGCATGCCCCTTGGCTATGGGCAGAATGCCAGTAACTTGGTACTCCTGATGTAAGACAGCCTCCGCTGGGGACATTTGTCGATGTACGGGCATTTGGGTGTAAAGAAAATCTGGTTCCTCATTAATTTAGTCTTTATGCACCCATTCTCTATAGTTGCTGCTCCATGCATGCTACCCTTCCTCCTGTGCTTCTCCCTGGCTAATAAAACTGGGCCAATGCAGAGCTTTATTCAAGTCTGTTTGCTAGAAGCAGGTCTCCTCCTTGTCACTTTGTATCCTGAAAACTGTCTGTCTCTTTTTCTTTATTCAGCCTTCCCCCAAAAGGTAGCTGAAGGTCTGTCTGATCAGCTCAGTAGGAAACTATCCAAGAGACAAAATGAAGCTTTAATCTCCAAAATTTTAATTTAAATCAAGAAGCCTTTTCACCTGATATAAACTCACACACCCAGAATGTCATTCCATAAGCAGGCATTGCTGGCACATGTGACATTTAGACTCCAATTAATGACATCATCTGTCCCTCAGATCCACAACTAATTCCCACAACATGAAAGGTGTTTAAAAATACAACCATCTCTGCACCATATCAAATGATACTCACTTGATATATGTATTTAAGTTGTAAACTTTTAAAAGCTAAGCTATATTGTATACTGGCATACTCAATACAATAATAAAAATGTTACAAAATCTTCCATTATCTCAATTATTTCCGGTTCATCATCAGGATACAATAAAAATATTTGAAAGTTTCATCACCGGTGAAAGTTTCAGCACTTCATGAGCTATCCTTTGTCGATGTTAGAATGAGAGAATTCCAATGTGGCTATGAAGAGAAATGATGGAGGACAGACTGTACCCTACTTCTACGGAAACATGGGCCACCAGAGGCCATGGGGGAGGGCTCAGAAGCAAAGCGCTGTCCTGCACATAGACTGACTTGGGCAGCAGGGATCTGCGGGCAAACCAGACAGTGGACAGAAAAGGTGGAGAAAATTTCAAATACCCAAAATGAATATGAGTTTTTCTAGGCTTCAGAGATAGTATCTTTTACTTGGATGTGCCTAAAAAAAAAGAAGAGGGAAAACAAAATCAAGACATCTCCCCAAATGTTTGGCATTAAGAATCTCTTAATCCAGGAAGCTACTACTTCACTAAAGCAAAATGTTCTCTATATAATTGGGACCACTTCTTGGGAAATGTAACCAAAGCAGTCATCAGCCAGGGTCCAGCAAAAAGGTATCTGAAGCAAAGCCCAAGGCTACCAGGCAGCAGTTGTAAGCAGCACACAATGATCAGAGTCCCAAGAGTGAGATTCAGATGAAGGCCTAATCTCAGAGGGACAATCTTTTATCTGGATAAAGAGAAAAATTCATCAAATCTGTTTTTTAGACACAAATGTTAACATGTGACCTATGGCACTTATGAAAGCAAAGAAAACGGAGTGGCCAACGTAGATAGAACACATTGAGTATAAAATGCTAATTGCTCTTCTACTGACGGTTGCAGTTTCCCTTCATCTGACTTTATTAAGTGTTCTCTCATCAGAGGGGATCTTTTAATCTTTTGAATGAACATCAGTGAGCTGCCCTTCCATGCTTGAGCCAACTTCTGTCTGAGTACATGTGGCAATGTGAGACAGTAATGCAAAGCCAACAGAAAAGACAATCTGCTTAAGCAGCATTCTACGTTAGCATTCCAATGGGGAAGAGTTAACAGCAGCATGTCCCTTGCCGCTCCACCATCACCTGTGAAATAGTAAGGACGGTATTTCACTGTGTGCGAGAGATGCCAACTACCTATAACTCACTCCAAGCTCCGAATACTCCGGGAAGGAAAAACCCTTCACTGCCAATTCAGAAATGTACCGCTACTTGGATGTGACCAATGCCCAGTTGCTGAGATGTGAGGTCTTGGATCCTGGGGTAGGCACGTGTCCTCTCTTCATTATTTCATTTCTCTTCCCAACAACCTAATTAACTACCTATCTTTACCTCAAAAATACTGATATAGGGCCAGCGATTTAGCTCAGTGGTTCTACCGCCTGCCTTGCAAGCACAAGGTCCCAAGTTTGATCCCTGGTACCAAAAATAAAAATGCTGATAAAAGGCTCCTTTAGCAGCAAACAGACCTAGGGATACAAGGCCATCTATGCTATGAAAGTACAGTGCTACTCTTTGAAATGGGGCTGTATTTACAAATTTTATTTTTATTCCAAAAATACATATAAATGAAAACCTGCTCTTCAAATGCAGGGAGACCCATGTGGTATTACATTTTTATCACAAAACATTATATGAAAATCAGTATGCAGCTCTTTAACATAGTTCATATATATATATATGTACATATACATATATTTTACGTAAGTAGTTAATACTTTTCTACTTACATACTGTCCTACAATGAAAAACTAGGAAACTGGGCAGTCCCCTTGCTTTCCAGCCTTTGGAGGTAAATACCTCTCTGAACAAATTTTTAAAGATGAAATGTGTAAGCTACATAACCTCCTTTAGACATATATACATGTTGTCAGAATAAAGCAAGGATAATGTCAGGTAAGTGACAGTGTATTTTTGAAAGAAAGAAAGAGAGAGAGAGAGAGAGAGAGAGAGGGAAAGGAAAGATATATGTTTGAATAAAAATGGAAAACTGAAGAACAGACAAGATGATCAAAATTGTTATGTACATGTTCCATGGAGAAATCCGAAATTTTCTCACAGGAAACAGATCCACAACCCATTTCAGCCTCTCATGATACTGTCAGCACCCATTGGGATTAGCCATGATCTTCTTATACAATCATGTGCTTCAGCAGGTCCTATAAAGCATCTGTTTAACAGTCAATAATGAGGTCATGTGGTAATCCCCCCCCAAAAAAAAACCCAAACAAAAAATACACACCAAGTGCAAAATCAACTTGTTCGACTCAAGAGCTCAACCAGGTTGAAGCTTTGGTATACGTTGGAGGCTGTTGTGGTGACCACCAAATCTTAGTAAGAGTCTCTGCTCAGGGGTTTGCCCCCAAAAAACAAAAACTCTTGGTCCACAAAGCTTAACAACTATATAAATAAAGTAACTGTACAAAGAGAACAAGCCACAATTCCCCTTTAAGCAAGTTTAGTTTCCTCAGCAGATCTGAAAAAAATACCCACAGGCATGTGGCTGATATGCCACAGAAAAAGTTCAACAAAACAAGTCAATGTTCTTCAACTGTAATGTTGGTCAGCAACAGAAGAAAGACTTAAGGCAGTAAGAGGCATTACACAGAGCAGCACAGTGCTCTTTGAGTCGATCCCAAAGCATTCCAAGAAGGAAAAGGTATCTCAATAGTTCTGGCTCTTAGTTTGCTAGCTGTCAGAAACTACTTCCTCCTCGTAGTCATCATCATCTTCCTTCTTGTCTAATTCAGAGGTATCTGATGACTCATGTAGTAGGACATACTCTCTACTGCTGAACCCAAATTTAAGTACATCCTTTTCTTTTAGTTCATAGTATCTCTGTGGCTCAATACGCTTGTTGTTCAAGAAAGTTCCATTGCCTGAGCCCAAGTCAATGATGTAGGGCTTCACCCTTCGGCCAACAGTACCATCAGCACGAGTATATTCCACAAGCCTAGCAGAGATAAAAGAGAGAAGTAGTGAGCAAATCCTGCCTTCTCTAACTAAAGTCTATACACAGCCTAGGTGATGTAAGTAATCTGGCTTGAAAATAATTACTCAAGTTAAAACTAAGAAATCAAGTTGGGGATTTAGCTCAGTGGTTCTACTGCCTACCTTGCAAGTGCAAGGTCCCAAGTTTGATCCCCGGTACCAAAACAAAACAAAACAAAAACTAGGGAAACAAGGGGAAAACACTGCTGGATAGGAAAACCTGGAGTACCATAGTTTAAATACACTCACTAGAAAAGGTTATTAAGGGGCCAGGGATTTGGCTCAGTGGTTCTCTGCCTGTCTCACAAGTGTAAGGACCTGAGTTCGATCCCTGGTACCCTCCCTAAAAGAAAAGAAAAGGTTACTAAGAACTGGCTGTGAACAGTGAATCCATGGTAGACCAAAAGCTTGAAATGTAAATTCAGCCCTCTTGGCAAGCCTATTGTGTATCATCAATAAACAGTTTTTTGGCCTATATTTCAATGTATTTTAGCTCCATTCCAAATGGGAAAGCAGTGGGCTTGGACTGCAGAGTCAAGGGAGCTAGATTTGAGCCAGAATTATGGTATGCTAATCATTTATTTTGCACTTGCAAGGCGGGTAATGGAACCAGAGCTAGATCCCCAGCCCCAAAATTTTGTTTTTGTTTGCAAACTCTGCACCGGGTGAGGAACAGGACTGCAGCCATCTCCCCCACACAAACATGAACATGGGCATCTTTTCCAGAATTGTGGAACAAATTAAGTTCATGAACTAAGGTACTACTGTACATGTAGGCAAGTAGCAGTAACCCTAACTAAGACATTCAGTGTCCGCTAGTGTTTCAGGTGCTTCCTCTTCAAATATACATACCGATACTGAAAGACCGCGTGCTGCTTTGAACACGATGGATGATCGATGGGAATGTCTGCAATGCGGCGGTGCCGACCCAAAAGATAAGCACTTTGTCGATGGATATACATGACAGGGAGTACCTCATCATTTTTAAATGGGTAGAGACGCCACCGCTTTTTGGGGATGCGTGCTTCTGGGGGCTCGCTGTATTTAATGACTACACCCCGGAAGGTGTTAGTGTCCTCAAGAAGAGCCCCAGAGAGCTCAAAGCTTGGTTTTTCTTTAACAGGCACCTCTTTGTCTTTATTGTTGCCACCAGGCCGATGCACCAACTCCTGAGCTCCATTACCACTTCCGCTGCCTTCGCTCTTCTGGCGGTGCTCCCGTCGCCTGGCATTGTAGAACTCCCGCTCTTCTTCCTGAGCCTGCAGGCTCTGGCTGTCTCGCTCCCGTCCCTGAGGCGGCCCACTCCCAGGCCTCTCACCAGAGCTTTTCCTTTGGCGAGAATGGCCCCGATGTCTGACTCGGTCACTGTTCCGACCCCTCCTATGCTCCTGACTGGATGCTTCACGGTGCTGCCGATCCTCTCGTGCTCTCCGGGGATGATCCTCACGTTCCTAAAATTCAAACAGACTCAATAAGAGAAGCCGCCCACCATCTAGGAACAAGCTACATTTGAGTCACTGGGGATCTAGATTTTGGCATTCAGGACAGAATTTCCCACAGATGCAAGGTAATCAATCTGTGGCAGTCATGTGCCCTCACAAGGCCACTAAGATTATGTGCTATGCTGTTACTTATCTATAGGTCTAACAGCACAAGCTCATTTCCAGAGTGTCCAAAAGCTGGTATACAAAGAAGGAAAAATACCCTCTGTTTCAGAATATATATAAGCCACAGACAAATTTACAAAGGCATATAAAGACAAAACAGAACAAAGTGTTAAGTAGCTCTGTACTAAATACACAAAGAAAAAAACTAGCTTTCTCTTATGCCAAAAATAAAACTACGACTTTTTTTTTTTTTTGAGAAAGGGTTTTGCTACGTAGTCCAGGTTGGCAAAGAACTCACTATGCATCCCACAGTGTCCTTGAACTGACAATCTTCCTACTTCAGCCTCTAGAGTGCTGGAATTACAGGCATGCGCCACCACTCCTAGCTTCATAATAGTAATTTTGAACAGCAATAAAAATTACTTAGGGCCAGGGGTTTGGCTCAGTGGTTCCGCTGCCTGCCTCGCAAGCGCAAGGGCCAAGTTCGATCCCGGTACACACACACACAAAAATAATAATAATAATAATAATAATAATTATTATTTAAAACTAGGAATAAATTTTAAAATGCTATCCCTATCTTTCAAAAGATCTACTTGTAAGTGTGATCCTTGGCTGGCATCTGAGAACTTAGATTTGGGGGGTGTCCCTACTGCCCTAACTGGGGAGAATGTCTAGAGCTTCTCACTGCGTCTGAACTGTCAAACAATATAGCTTATGCAGAACACTCAATTTCCTTTTGGGAACCTGGAATTTGGGTACACAGAAGGCATGAGGTTGCTGTGCAATGAGCTGTTAATAAAGATCATAGACACCGAGTTTCTAAAAAAACCCATGATGCCCAGTACCACAACAAAAACATTATTAAAAGATATAAAAGCCGGGCGTGGTGGTGCACGCCTGTAATCCCAGCACTTGGGAGGCTGAGGCAGGAGGATCACTGTGAGTTCGAGACCAGCTTGGGCTACATAGTGAGTTCTAGTTAAGTCTCAACTACATAGGGAGACCCTGTCTCAAAAAAAACAAAAAAGATATAAGAAATTTGGGGCTGGGGGTTTAGCTCAGTGGCTCTGCTGCCTGCCTCGCAAGCGCAAGGTCCTGAGTTCAATCCCTGGCACCAAAAAACAAAAACAAAAAACACAAAGAAGATATAAGAAACCTGGAGCTAGGAGCAGTGGTGAATGCCTGTAATTCCAGCACTCTGGAAGGTCAAGGCAGGAGGTTCACCAGCTGGATGGAGGACACACTAGGCAACTTAGCAAGAGGCTATCTCAAAAATATTTAGAAAAAGGATAGTGAAGGAAAAAAAACAATTCCCAATAAATTTTTAAAAAATGAAAAAAAAAAAAGGATAGTGAAAAGCTCAGTGCAAAGTTTCTAGGTTTAATCTCTAGTACTATTGGGGGGGGTGTAAAAATTTATTCATAATTTTTCTTTTCTTTTAAAACATGTTTTGAGATAAGAGTCTTGCTATGTAGCCCAGACTGCCCTTGAATTCATAATCCTCCTGCCCTAACCTCTTGAGTGCTGGGGTTATAGTGTGAACCACCATGTACATTTTTTGAAGACCTGAAAAAAAACAAAGTATATCATCATTTCTTGAAAAATAATGTTTCGAGGGCTGGGGATTTGGCTCAGTAGTTCTGCTGACTACCTTTCGAGCACACGGCCTGAGTGCATCCCCTGTACCACCAAAAAAAAAAAAAAAAAAAATGCTTTGAAAGTCAGCCTGGTAGAAAAATTTTCATATTATGTATCAGTAAAAAAATAAATCAGTAAGGCAAATAATTCAATAGAAAAATAGTCAAAAGACATTAACAAGCAATTTTCAGAAGAAATAAATCTAATAAATACCCAAAGAGAAGCTGACCCTCACTAATAATCAAAGCATCAGTTCTAAAGGGAATATGAATTCTCTCTTTTTGTTTGTTGTTTGAGACAGGGTCTCACTATGTAGGTTCAGGCTGGCTTTGAACTCACCACTGCAGTCCAGGCAGGCCTCAAACTCACAATAATCCTCCTGCCTCAGTCTCCCAAGTGCTGGGATTACAGGCATGCACCACCACCCTGGCAAATTTTCTCTTTTCAGAATAGCAAAGTTAAAAAGACCAATAACAAGGCTGGTGTTATGGTGTGGTGGTGCACGCCTGTAATCCCAGCACTCGGGAGGCTGAGGCAAGAGGAATGCTGTGAGTTCAAGACCAACCTAGAGTACATAGTGAGACCTGTCTCAAAAAACCAAAAAAAAAAAACCTACTGTCAAAAAAGGAAAACGAAACAATGGATATTCTCAGCACTGCTAGTCTAAGTATAAACTGGTATAGTCTATGTAGGGCAATTTGACAGAATTTAATCAAAATTTCATAAATTAGTAAACCCACTCACAGGGATCTAGCCTACAGAAATAATAGAAAAGCACAATGATTTATAGGTTTACTGCAATCTTATTTGTAGTAACAAAAATAAAAAATAATCTCATGTTCCTCAATAATAGGATATACGTATGTTTGTTTATCTTTTGGTACCAGGGATCAAACTCAGGACCTTGTGCTTGCAAGGCAGGCGGCAGAATCACTGAGCTAAATCCTCCACCCAATAATAGGATGTTTAAATGATTGTATATTCATATAAAGGAGTACTTCCCAGTCATTAAAAGAGAATGAGGTAATGACAGAAATATATCTAAAATATTAAATGGAGGGGCCGGGGATTTAGCTCAGTGGTTCCACCGTCTGCCTCACAAGTGCAAGGAGCCTAGTTTGATTGCTGGTACCAAAAAAAAAATTAAATGGAAAGAAAACGGGGGGGGTGAGCAAGTTTCATAATGGAGAAATCTCCACTTGGCAGACCAGATACTCAGAAGGGTATTCCTACTGTGTTCAAATAAATATTAATTTGGTTGAATTAAATTAATTAAAAATATTTAATTTTAATGCACTGCAAGGCTCACACAAAGCAAGGGAAAACCTCCAAGGGGGAAAGAAGATCAACTAACCATGAGTTTCAAAATCAAAGACCAGGAGGGGCCGGGGATTTAGCTTAGTGGTTCCAGCGCCTGGCAAGCACAAGGACCTGAGTTCAATCCCCGGTACCAAAAAACAAAAACAAAATCAAAGACCAGGAGACATACAAGGAAACAAGCCACTATGCACAAGAAGCAACAGAAACAAGCCCTGCAGATCTGGATCCCCAAGGACTTCAGACATTGAGCTAGCAAAATACGGTACAGAACATAGCATTCATGGATAAAAATGCTGTAAGAGATTAAGGTTAAAAATTTGTTACGCCAGGCATATGAGACACACCTATAACCCCGGAAGTCAGGCAGGGCGAGGAGGATTTCAAGTTTGAGTCCACAATGGACAATTTAGCAAAACTGTCTCAAAATATTAAAAAATGACTGCAGCCAGGGCATGGTGGTAATGCCTATCATCTCAGCACTGGGGGAAGCTGAGGCCTAAAGATCTCAAGTTCAAGCCCAGTTTGGGCAACTTAATAATTCAGCAAGACCCTGTCTCAAAATTCAATAAAACAGGGCTGGAGATTTAGCTCAGTGGTTCCGCCACCTGCCTCACAAGCGCAAGGACCCAAGTTCAATCACTAGTACCAAAAACAAACAAACAAACAAAAAAAAACAATAATAATAATAAAACATTCAGAACCATTTGTCATTGCTTAGAAGGAAAAAAACTGAAGCTGAATCTGATCAAGACATAAGATATAACTTCAACTTACAGGAAAGACAAATGTCACTACAACCTATTAAATGACTACAGGGGATGCAAATTATAAATAAACTATAAAGGAAAAACAAAGAGAAGGGAACAGAATCTAGATTCAGTGAGATTTAGAGTTGGGTGTGATGGATGACACACACCTGTAGTCCCAGCACTCAGGAGGCTGAGGCAGGAGGATCTTTAGTTTGAGGCTAATGAAACTAAAATCGGTTGACCTTATCTTAAAAAAACAAAAACAAGGGATGGGGATTTAGCTCAGTGGTTCTGCCGCCTTGCAAACCATGCTTGCTATGCAAGCACATGGACCCAAGTTAGATCCCCGGTACCAAAAAAAAAAACCAAACCAGAGACTTAAACACTAATCTACTGCAATATGTAGATCTTAAATTTCAATCCTAATTTGAACAGTAAAACTTACCCAGAAGTCAGTCAGAGAAATATGAACACTGACTAGACATTTCATGTTAGAGGATTAATTCAAATTTAAACCAGGGATGTAGCTCAGTGGTAGAGTATGCACCCAGCACGGATGGAGGCCCTGGGTTCAATTCCCAGCACCAAATAAAATTTAAGTGATCTCAACCCATTAGGATAGCTACTATTAAAAAATAGGAAACAGGGGCTTAGAATGTAGTTGGCACTACTACAGCACTACGTAGCATACCAAGGCCCGGGACTGAAAAGAAAAACAAGGAAAAGAAAACAAGACAAAACAAGGAACAACTGAAAATAACAAATATTGGTGAAAACATAAAGAAACTGTGTACTATTAGCAGGAATGGTAAAATGGTATCACCATTATGGAAAACAAGATGATGGATCTTCAAAAAATTAAAAAGTGGATTATTATAGGATCTAGTAATTTTATTTCTAGAATTGAAAGCAGGGTCGCCAGGCATGGTGGCACACACCTATTATCCCAGCACTCGGGAGGCTGAGGCAGGAGGATCACTGTGAGTCCGAGACCAGCCTGGGCTACATTGTGAGTTCCAGGTCAGTCTCAACTACATAGTGAGACCCCGTCTCAAAAAAACAAACAAACAAACAAACAAACAAACAAACAAACAAAAAGAAAAGAAAGCAGAGTCTAGCAGCATTATTCAAAAT